AAACCCGGACCCCTCTCCCTCTCCAAAGTTTAAGTTAAAAACCCCTTCCTCTATAAAAAGATCCCCCCCTTTTCCAACCAGCCCCTTCTCCTTTACAAAACAGCCCGGCTCTCTTCCTTCCAAAGGGCCAGCGTCCACATCAGCACCGACTGGACCACCCTCTACGACCAGGAAGTGGATCAAGACTGGAATCGAAATTTGTCCATGGCAGACCGCATGTGAGTACTGTGGGGAAGGATGCGTGGGCAGACTGGAGTCTTTGCTTCCAATGCCGGAGGAGGGGGGGGGGGGGGTAAATGTGAGGATTGAGATGGTTAGGGGAGAAGGATGTGTCGTTGTGGATTTATTTGCTGGGGGGAGCTTGTGGTTGAGTTTAGGGAGTGGGGAGATTGAGCTTTCTGGATAGGAGTGGTACAATGGGAGGGATGTTTGGTGGCGATTTTCTCTCAATGTATGGGATTGGTTTTGTTTGGGGTTATGGGACATGGAATATCGGGGATAATCTTGATGTTGGGATTGTCCTTTGCACTTCTGACAAAACCCCATAGTTATGCCCGGATATGCATGTGGTGTCGTCGATAGAGGAGGCTGCACGGTGGATGCGTCTTAAGTTCTAGTTTCGAACGGGGAATCTCGACTGAGTTCGAGGAAACAGTACTGTTTCACGGCTGATATATCTTGAAGCGTCATGACACACTAGAAGGACAAGGGACAGAGCATGCTCTCCATACCTAGGAAATATTTGGTTATGGTCTTCCACTGCGCGCTACTCCCTGCACACTGAAATCGTGTCAAGTCCCGGGTGATGAAAGTCAAAACTCAAACCCTCTAGAGGTCTTCTGGTGCAACACCGCGTACGGATGCCGCGGATAGTAAGTTTTGTCTGATTGAGTAGGCTCTGAGTAATCTACCAAGTTGCATTGGATAGGACTTCATCGCTCAAATTCCAAAATCTGACTGAAGACGTGATGTTGACGGTCGGATAGTTAATTCCTTAACACAAGTCGACCATAGAGCAAACCATTTCCCTATACCGATCTGTACACAGCTCCTGAAAGAAACATGCCGAAGTTCAAAACTACCCTTTTCTGGTGGAGATGGAGTATATTATTCCCTTCTCAGAGAATTCTTATGATGATTGATGAGTCCCGCTGCAGAATCTCGCAAACTCCGCCTCCAATAAGGATTTGCCTTGGGGTCCACCGAAGCCCACAGTGACATGGCCAACCCAAGCGGGCTCCTGCATTGGATGATATAAAAGAGACTGCTTGCGAGACGAGGTGTTCTGTCGGTTTGTAACCTATAACTTATATGGGGCCCCGTGGTTGAGCCCCACGAACACATGTGTGTGGTCTGTCAGCTGAGAATTGACATTTTCCAGGCTGCTCAAGAACCATCATGGGAGAAGTGGATACCTTCTCCAAATCCGGATGGATGGGGAGCAATCATTATTCATCCAAGACAAAGAGAATTGTGTCGCTTTTAAATGGTGAGCTTTTAAGTTGCCTGCTTACTTCTCCGTAGGTCCGCTTTATCAGATCGAGCCCTGGAATCGCAATGGCGAGGGTCTCTCGGCTGCTCGTTATCTGATCCGACTCGTGCCGGGCGTTGGGGCTGCCACTTTAGCCCCAGATAAGCGAGAGCTAAACCAGATACAGAATAGCCCCTTTTCAACCCAGGTGCCTCTGGCCCATAATAGCCAATCACATCGAGGGAACGCCCAGACCGCCTCCCCGATTAGGCTTGGCGTGGGTTACACTAGTAACTAACTAACTAACTATTAACTAGTTCAGAAGAGGCTCAAGAGATCCCCACGGAATCTTATCATATCAGATCTTTTGGCATCCGCTGACAATTTAACCAACTGATTAGTTAATAGCAAGCCAACAGCATCATTCCTCAACAACTCTTTTTCAGACCGATCTTCCTTAGCCAACGGCACATCCAAGTGCGTCTCAAATTTCAGTCTGTGTTCCCCCGCTCCCCCTTGGTCTCCGTTCTCTCTTATGCTGCTGGCCAGCTTGCTGCATATAGTTGACTAGTTATTCATTGTTACCCTTACTTAAGGCCACGCCCCACCAGAGAGGTAAGTTACTCCGTTAAAAGCCATCGGAGTCACGGAGTCACGGCTGGTCTGGTCGTCAGACACAGCTCGTTAAAAACCCTTTTGCTGGTTTTGTTGGGATTGGGTACCTCAATTTTGCATATCTACTTTTGTGTTTTTCTCTCTCGTTTTTGGCTCTATCTCAATTCGTTCTCTCCGATTTGTATTATTATTACAATTATACATTGCCCCGATACATTCTACCCAAAACATCGAACCGGATATATATAAAAAGGCATCTTGCTCTACCTACACAAATCCTTCGCTCACAACCGCATTCCTGGTATTGACCCGCCAATACTTGTCCTTTCTCATTCTCTCTTTGGCAACCTGCGCGCCCAAAAACGGAGTTTTTTGAAATGATTGATCCTTGATGAACAAACCGACGAACGAACCTCCATCCTTCTTCCTCCGTTACGATAATCTGACCCTCCTCTTTTGCCTCGCCACCCGGTCCGGTCTTGCCCCGCTATGGTCCGGCAAACGACCTCTGTCAGGTCTTACGGTACATGCGAATCCGCACCTCACATGGAGGACAGAGGTGAGGATGCCGGGCTGCTGTACATAGAGCCAAGGGCAACGTCAACGGACTGTTACGATGACGAGAATGATACTAATGCCAATATCGATGGTCGAGATCCCACACGAGGGAGTGGATACAGTTCCGCGTCTTCGGATTCCATGCAGGAGGGTGTGCGGAAAATAGAGGCTATTAGCAAAACGTGGACGAAGAAGTCGTTAATAGTGGCTTATACTGGGTATGTGGTGCTACAATGTTATTGTTTTATTGTTTTGTTGTTTTATTATTTTATTATATATATATATATATGTCCCCTATCCCATATGAGGTCCGGCTAATGTAACCTAGAATATTCTTGATGGCATTTTCTACCTCTCTGGAAGGCCAGACGGTTCTGTCCTTATCCGCCTATGCAACCAGCTCGTTTAGCAAACATTCGTTGATATCGACGGTAATGGTTGTCCAGAATGTGGTGAACGGTAAACGATTCCTCCACTACTACCAGCCTTCCTCAATCAAATATACGCGAAGCTAACAAACCGCGATAGCCGTTGTGAAACCCCCAATGGCCAAGGTCGCCGATGTTTTCGGTCGATTCGAAGCGTTTTGCATAGCTGTCTCTATTTACGTCCTGGGATATGTCCAAATGGCAGCTTCGACTGACGTGCAGACGTACGCATCCGCACAGATATTTTATTCCGCCGGTTCAACAGGACTGCAAATTCTTCAACAAGTCTTCATTGCGGACACAAGTTCTCTACTCAACCGAGCCCTTTTCTCCAGCCTTCCCGACTTACCTTTCTTGGTCACTGTGTGGATTGGGCCCATGATTGCCGCTGCTATTCTCCGGGAAACCAGCTGGCGTTGGGGATATGGGATCTGGACAATCATCCTACCCGTAGCATTTCTTCCGCTTGGGTTGGCTCTGTTTGTAAACCAGAGAAAGGCCAAACAGTTAAACCTCCTCAAGCCAAAGCCTTGGAAAGGACGGAGCTTCACTAGTATCGTCAGAAAGACTTGGTACGACCTGGACGTATTTGGCCTTCTGCTTCTATCCGCGGGACTGGCTCTGATTTTGATTCCCGTAACGCTGGCGGCAAATGCGAAGAACAAGTGGAAAAACAACAGTATCATTGCCATGGTCGTCGTTGGTGGTGTCTGTCTTCTGGTGTTTCCTCTGTGGGAATCTTTAAAGCGGGTGGCGCCGCATCCACTCCTCTCTCTTCATCTCCTCAAGCAGAGAACGGCCCTCGCCGGCTGTGCCCTTGCATTCTTCTATTTCAGTGAGTTGTCCAATCTTCCTTAATCTTTTGGATACTTGCTCTAACCCCTGGCGTAGTGGCATTCTACAGCTCCGTCCAACCATACCTCTACTCATACCTCCAAGTCGTCCAAGACCAATCCGTCACCACCGCCGGCCGAGTAACGCAAACCTTCTCCTTCACCTCAACAATCGCCGCTGTATCCATCTCCTTCGTCATCAGAGCAACAAGGCGCTACCGCATCTTCGTAACCAGCGGCTGCTGCATCTACATCTTCGGCCTCTTCCTCATGCTCTTCTGCAACAAGCCAGGAGCATCCGTCCCCTCCACCTTCGCCATCCAAACAATCATAGGCCTGGGCGCCGGCTTCCTTAACGTCCCCGTCCAACTGGGCGTCCAAGCATCCGCAAAACACCAAGAAGTCGCCGCTGCAACTGCCATGTTCCTCACGTGTCTTGAGATGGGTGGCGCGGTGGGTTCGGCTATCTCGGGCGCTGTATGGACTAGTTCCATCCCCAAGAAGCTCGCCCTGTACCTCCCCGAGGAGAGTCGGGGAGATGCAGAGGAAATCTTCGGTAAACTTACCAAGGCCCTTTCGTACCCGCTTGGCTCTGCGACGCGGATCGCTATCAATCGTGCGTATGATGAGACATTTCATAGGCTGCTGGTGATTGCGCTTTGCATGGCGATTCCGATAATTCCTCTTAGTCTGCTTATGACGAATTATAGATTGGATAAGGTGTGTTAGATTTCTTTCTTTTGGAAGGGAAATGTTCCCGCCCTGTTTGTTTGTTGAATGTAAACTGTTTCGATGCTAACAAGGTGAATGAATAATATGTAGATGGACACTCGCCCAAAGGTCGAAAGCATAGGCGATGGTGAAGGTGAGGGCCTGATTTCCCGTCCCTCCCACGACGAAAGTCCCGATCGCAGCTCGCGGTTTCGAAGGCATTTTGCGTGAACGGATATATGAATATATAGAATGATGCAGCTTCCCCTTGGACATCGCATGTATATACAATGGTTTCTTGGTCCTCCCCCCACTATTTTTTTGGGCCCTTTTTGTGGTGTACGAGCATATCACATACACCTCTCACTTTTACGGTCAATGATCTATATATGCCATTTATGATATGAATCTATGTATTTGTTAATAAATCTAGAGATAAATGAATATGTGGCTGATATTAACACCTCTGGCTGACAACGTATGTAGGAAGAAAAATAGAGTGGTGACAAGGCATGGATAATGGATAATGGATAATGGATAATGGATAATGGAAAGCCATGTACACGAATTTGAAATACCAACATATCCAATTCTTCTTGCATAGTTACCAATAGTTACTTAGTTGAGAGGGCATTTCATGTTGAGAGGAGATATCGACAATATTACAATGTTCAGAGGCATCTAGAAGCCCTTATCCTTATGCAACCTATTCCCCCATTCCCCCATCCCCTCGCTTCCCCGCCCCTCTCAAACTCTCAAACCCTCCTAAACACAACTGGCTGCACACCATCATCCGGATACAAATACTTTTTCTTCCTCACTTCCCCCTTCTTCCCCTCCTCAAACCATACTCCTTCATCCAACGACGTCTTATAAGTGCTGTACATCCTCGCCGTCACCAGACGAATAATCGCCCACGCAAGACTATTTCGAAATTCGGTCAATATTCAAGTTAGCGAAACATGCATTATAAGCACTATTTTCCCTTGTTTTCACACAATGGAAGAGTGATATGTGTATGCATGGGCAGAAGTCACCCTGCGTCGCAAAGCAACGCACAATGAGATGCACTGGTATTGTCTTGTATTGAGTTGACTTGTGAAGTTACGTACTTAATCCCCGTGCAAGTTCGCGCCCCGTACCCGAACGGCATGAGCATGCGTTGCATCTGGCGGTGCTTTTGGGAGGTGGATGTGGAAGTGGACGTCGTGGCTGAGGCTGTGGTTGTGGTTGTGGTAATACAAGAACGCCAGCGCTCCGGGTCCCAGACGTCTGGATTGGGAAATATCTCCGGGTCGCGGTGGAGGGTGTATGGTTGGATGGAGATGGTGGTCTATGGACATAGATCCTTTCTTTTAGGCATTTGTGTAGTCTATAAAAGGGGGGATTGGAGCGGGAGGTGGCTGGTAGTATATATAGTCTTGAAAACTCACTCCAGGCTCTATCTTTATGCCCAGCACGGTGATATCGGGATTCTTGGCCTTAACTATCCGCAGGAGACTGAATGGGATGGGCGGGTTGGTTCGGAATGTTTCCTGTAAAACACTTGTTAGGAAGGGCAGGCTTTGCAGGTCTGATAAGGTTATATCTTCCAAAGATGCTGTTGGGTCTTTTGAGGTGATAGAACGTAGTTCGTCGCGCAGGTTGTCTTGGTGGCGTTTGTTTTCGGGGAGGGAAAGGCGGTAGATTAGCGCGGAGAGAAAGTCGGCGGTTGTAGAGGTGCCTGGATTCTAATTAGAGCGGAATGGATCGCTTTGGGATGGGGAGGCCAGGGACATATATATCTCACCTGCGAAGAAGTGATCTAGGCTATCGCTGGCTATATAGTTCACGTTCGGGAGAGCAGGGCTAGGGCCGTTCTTTTTGAAGAGGTGAAGAAGATGATGGAGGTGTGCTTTGATTTCGTTCTTGTCATGGGTCACCCCATGATCGTCGTTTGATGATTGGGAACGGAGTCTGAGAGATTCCTTGACCCTGGACATGCCGTAAGCGGCCATTTTCGTCCCCGGGTTGATTAGTGGTGATAGTAGCTTCAACATGGAGACTGGTGTTATCTATCAGCACAAAATACGTCTTGTATCCCCTGAGGAATTTTGGAGGATAATCATACGTACGCGGAAATAATTGCAAAATAATCGCGAACAGGCTGGCCACTTGGTCTGTATTTGAGGTGAGAAGTTCAGCCATCTCAGCCCTTGAGTCTGCGTTCTTCAGCAGATTGAGAGGTTTCCCAGGTCCGTATATCAAACCGGTCATAATATCTGCAGTAAACCATCTGATGAGGGGAAATACATCGACAGTTCGCGGGGGCAGTTCCCCCGCTGCCGCTGTTGCTTCCCTTTCAATTTCATCCATGAACGTATTGATAACCGTTTTCATCAGGGCCTGGACAGCCGGCGACGATACAACGGTATTCGTATAAAGACCCGCCACAGTTTTCCTGCGCATTAGATGCAATTCTGGGTCAATGGTGCTGACTAGGTTTTGCGAGCCATACTGCTCAAAAAACCAAACAAGGTCAAAGGTATCAAGGCCTCCATGGGGTCCTGTGTAGATATCCCGTAGAGCATCTGGATGACAGAAGGAAATCATCTTTGGGCCCAATTGCACGATTGGACCGTAGATTTGATGGGCATGATGGGTCGTGTTCAGAATCCCATCTGTTTGTTTGTTAGCAAGCTGGTCTGTTAGGAGCAGAAGGAAACCATAGATAGCATGGATGATCCAACGCGCACCTCGCAATTCATGCAGCGTCAGCCACCATTTAGTGAACTTGGCTAGTTTGGGCCCCGGGAAGGGAGACTTGATGGTGCGATATATTGAACGACAGAGATTCTGAATTATGATTAGCGACATGGCAATGGCGATTAAATGCCATTCAACGATATTGAACCAGGACAGTCCTGTGAACTCGGCCATGGAGAATAACTAAATATCGTAATATAAGCTCAGCAGAATTGAGATGCAGAGAAACACAATTGTTAAAAGTAAATCGATAACCGACTGAATTTCTTGAAGACCAGCGCCGTATCAAGACGCATGGCTTCATGAGATGCATGAATATCACCCTATATTGTTATTTCAAAATATGAACAGACATAGTTATAGTCTTTTAAACTGGACAGTTTTGATGACAAGGAATTATCCATATTCAGCACAACTGTGTAGTCCGTCCATCGGAGTGCTTTTCGACAGCGCTTTAGCTGAATCAGGGCATTGAAATGTAGGAGGTTGAAACGGTGGGATGCTCAATCGCACGTTATTGGATGAGAGGAAGAGCTAAATAATAATCCGTGCCCTCCCACAGATGAATCATACACCATCATGCGCATAGTTAGGTATTTGGGACGATTCTAGCCATTTTGACTCGACATATCTTAGAACAGAAGTGTGGTCCGGAAATGGGGCGGTGCTCTATCAACACGACTTACATCGAGAGAAAGTCAGTAAGTGTGCATGCGACGACAGATTACCCATAGTGAGTTGATGTTATCCAAGCTTTGGGGATGATATTTTTGAGTTAACTTAGTTGTGGGTCAGACAGAGCAGTCTTCCAAACTTCTCAAATCCCCACAGTCAACTATACGCCGTCTTTTGGAGTCTGCCCATCCCAGCTCAGAATGCCTGCAGCATTCATGATGCAGACGGTAGCTGGTGCACTAACCCAGCCCTCCGACGGGGACAAGATTAAACGGCTCTTTTGGCCCAAAGCGGCCAAATACGCGTATCCCGCTGTGATGGCGACGACCGAAGCAAAATAGCTTGAGTATTGGAATATGGATTAATTATAGATGTCAAGATACAGATATAAAAACGATGGCGATGTTTCCTCAGAGCATCACGGACTGTGCATATATATAGTATATATATATATATATATGTATATTTCGCAATCATCTTGTTCTACTCGGGATACCACACCTCCGATAAATCTCAGCCATATACACATCCTCATATGAGACTTGCCAGTCCGTCCTACAGACAATTTCTTCACAAGCCATTCCATAGTCTATAGCTTCTCCCTATACCCTATTCAAAAAGTGAACAGAACAACGGCCACCATCGCGTCCGCAAATCACCTCCTCATTTCTGCATCCCACATGCAGGCCATGAATAACGACATGGCTTACCCGCAGGCACCTATTCGCCGCGTGTATCTCATCAAAGATCAGGGCTGGACTCGCCGCGGTTACAAAATAACCACCCCGGACGAGCTCTCCTGTCTCTACAACGTCCACACCTCCAGCTCTCATCCAGGAGTAACACTAACCCGCCATCTCCAGCCAATCCCCTACCACGCGCCGGCATCTTCCATGTCAAGACTATCCGGGCAATTCTCTCTATCCGGTCTCTTGGGGCATTCCGAAAATCACCAGCAACCGGGAAGCCAGATTAACAACGACCATGTCGTTGCGACTGTGAACTTCCACACTCTCTCATCAAAGATTGATATTGGGTTCAGCACTAATCAGGCCATCGTCATGAAATGCCCGGATGCGTTCTCCAGTTCGCGCAGGTTTGAGAGCCTGACGCCGCTTGGTACGTTGGAGTGGAAGAGAGATGGGGGGGGGGCCGCGTTGGGAAGTCTTGTAAGCAGTAATCTGAAATTGGTGGATGGGGGTAAGCGGACTGTTGCCAGGTATGAGAAGAAGTCATCGATGCTGTCTAAGGAGAACGATGTGATTGCGCTTCTGGTACCGGAGTTGGATGGGTTTCTGGACATCGTGGTTATTACGTGCTTGGCTACACTTGAGTATAAGCGGACAAAGAATAATGCGGAGGATGCTATTGGCTCTATATGAACTTGCTGCTGCTAAGTGATGTATAAGAAGGGTATTAACTTTGTGCTTTATCTCTAATGTTTAATGCTATTTCTCTTCATTTATTTTTTAATCTTTCGGGGATAAATAACTACGTAACTATGCGATGCTATAAAAGATAATCGTTACCCCACGGTCATATTCCCCAGGTATGGGCAGGTAAGAACGCCACGGTGCATGGTGGCATTGGTTGTTCTTTTCTGTCTTCGAAAGACTGAGTTGGATGCGATGTTACGGAGATCTCTGTTCTGAAATAACTGCATGCAGAATTTGGTGTTTTCTTCTAAGATTGTTTGCCTCCACTTAAAAGCTCTCTCTCCATGCCAAGATTCAAGACTCAATCCAGGTAAATCACCTACCGTCTCTGTTTAACTTAACCAGTTCCACCCTTGCCCCATCACTCAGCTAAGCATTGCGAATTCAGATTCCACAGGCGCATGGTATCCGCAGGGATGCTAATGTATGCTCAAGAAAATCCCGCCAGTCTGAGGTAAGTAGTCCTCGAGGAGAAACAGGGATCAGCAAAAGAAGCAGAGTGGAGATGGAAAGGAAACATGCACACATATTGATCATAGCGCATGCTTAGTTATCTATATTTATACAAAAGAGTGAGCCGTTGTTAAGCTCCTTCATTTCTATTTCAAGGAATCCTTCGTCCCAGTCGCACCGAAGTCTGAGGGTAAGCGACGCAGTGGGTCAACGGGTGGGGCAGCAGGGGTCGAGCGAAATGCAAATGTTGCGCCCCCGTCCGTCTTTCGTCTAACCATCTATAAGACACTGGTAATATAGGACGAAGAGATGCCGCGGAATTACCACGCCCCCATTCAAATGCTACCTACCTATAACTTCCTATATTAAACACAATTCACACGGAATAGACATGACTGACTACCTGACACGCAGTTAGCTATGTTTTCCAGATTTGTTGCAGCGTAAACCAAGTCGAAGATGCTAACCGCCCCCCCCCCCCCCCCCTCCTCTTCCCTCATCTTTTTACCCGACTTCTTAGTCTTTCTTTTCTTTTCTTTTCTTGCCATGTGGCATTTTAGTTTTTAAGTTTTTCTCACATCCCTGCCGATTCCCGGACGGAAGTGTTCAGGGTGTGGGGTGGCGGGATGGTGGCTGTTTCAAGGCGAGAAAGAGAGTCGATCACACCCAACCAAGATATGGAGGATGTTCTTTTTTTGAGAGTCGACCCTGGCTGCACAGGGTATTGGTGCCACAACTCCCGTTTCATCTAAATAGTGCCTACAAAGCGGGCAAGCGTTTCAAGAGTGAAGGGCGTTTTTCTTGAGATGGTTGGGGTTAGAGGACTGGAAACTATTTGGAATGATCAAGCTGACAACTAGTTATACATTATGATCCCCAGGCTGGGTGATAGATAGGCTGTCTAGACGATAGGGAGACATAACTAGTTAGCAATCAAGAGCTGGAGAACGTCATGCGACTCAGAGGAGTCTGTTGGGCGCAACAACTGCAGCCTAATGATGGTGGTTTTATTGTGTCAGAGAGGTGGGATATTTCAATCAGTTCAACCGGAGAATCACACTCCTTTGCCTGTCTCTTCTTCTCTTCAACCTTCTTGTAGTTAACTACCGGTCCACGTTACAAGCTTGGAGCGTTGCCTTGCCATCCCCGAAGGAGTGATGTCCCACATAGAGACATCAGATCCGATATACTTTGCAAGGCAAACCATATTTACAGAGAATATTGCCCATCTTCCTAAAGACGCTGATCCCAGAGCCTCCTGGAGCCCGCCAGGAGTTCTGGCTGCCTCCCAGAAGCAGGTTGTTACAATCTTACAAATCCCCCTTGACCGCGCCAGCGAATCGGAGAAAGCAGACAAAAGCTGAGAACCAGCAGGAGTCCCGTGCATCATCTAGTTAGTCCGGAATATGAGTGAGCGATCGAGAGGGAGAGTAATGCATTTTCATCGCCTGGAGGGAAGAGTTATGTACGTGGGTTTGGGTTCTAGGAAATGTACCGGAGATTAACCGCAGAGCTGGATATTATATAGTTATCCCCGCAAGGGCTTGATAACCGCTGCGTAGAAGTAGGTAGAGAAGAGAGGAATATCCAAGCAATTTCAAGGCTCATTTATCTGTTTTCCGTGATCGCACTTTTAGCAGAGCGTATCTCTTAACCAGTGATTGATAATACATCATAGTGCCCGAAGAAAATAAAGGCTGGATGTTGGATGTGGTTTAATGGCTGGTTGAATGGCTGGAGTTTATATTAAATAACTAACTAACCCCTCAGGCTTTTGACTCGAGTTATGTGCGCTCTATTTACCTCCCGGTACTTTAGCACGCCGCCAGAAATCTAGGCTCGGCGCGGTACCTGCAAGGTCAACCTCCCCATAAAATTTCTCATGAAAAGGTAGTTTTATCAACCTCCCACTGAAAAACAATGATTAAATGGATCGTGAACTTGGTAAGCTAGACATTACTGGGGCTACCATCAACACCCATCTCTATATTCCCCATCCCCCATCTCCCTGTGTTGTTCATTGAATTAATTGTCCCCCTGGCCTGGTTGTCGCGGTCCATGTCCTGCCTGTCCCATTGTGGTTGGGCCCACTCTGCCGCCATTGCTGCTACACTCGAACGTCGACCTCAACCTCAACCTCAACCTCAACCTCAACCTCTCCTCTCCTCCTCCCCCCCCCTCTCCTCTGCCCATTTAAAACTCTCTCTCTTCTTCCCCTTTACGCTTCATACACCAATACTCCTCTCCTCTCTGGTCAGTTCGTGCTTCGTCGACTTCTGTGCTTGCTCCACCCCGCCCTAAGCCAGTCTTCGTGCCCCGTCCTTGTTCGCGCGTCGTGCTGCTGGCTCCCCACCTGGCTATCTCTCTCTTATTCATCCTGTCACGACCTCTGTTCACACAAGGGCTGCCCCAATCTAGCTCATCCAGGCCCGTATGGTTCTCCCCTCTCTTCTATCGCCTCTCAAAAGAGCGCTTGTCGTTTTACATCCCCTCGCTTTTCTTAACTGCGCTTGCTTGCACAATCGGGGCTTGGATGGCTAACGTATTCTACTGACCGCCCAGAAATAGTCTTCGTCCACTCGCACTTTCAACCTGCTTACCTCGCCCTTTGTAACCCTCCGCTCTTTTCCTCGCGCATCCAAATCTCTCTCTCATCCCATCATCCGACCACGAGTGTATTGCCGTGCCACCTGTTTCACCCATTTCTTATCTAATCCTGCCATATTCCATCGCTTCTCTACCGCATCGACTCTTCTCAATCTTCCGTGAAAATCGCTCATCACACACATCTTATCCTAGTTGAATCTTCTGTTTAACCTGCTTTACATCCACAATAGCCCTTTTTAGAGCTGTGTTTTCCTCCACCAGAATCCAAAATGGTTGTGGCTACTATCAAGTAGGTTTGCTCTATACCAAAGGGTGCTGTGCTGACAATGATCAACATTGGCGGGTTGCGGATCACAGTCCTTCGCGCAGCGAAATAATTTGCTAATTGACCTCTTATTAATTCAACAGATGCGTTGTGGTTGGAGACGGTGCTGTCGGCAAGACATGTCTACTGATTTCGTACACCACCAACAAGTTCCCCTCTGAATACGTCCCGACCGTCTTCGATAACTATGCGGTTACAGTGATGTAAGTTGTGTGACTTCCCCATTCATGTTCACACCACATCAGCCATGTGTATGGATCGTGTAGCACGTCCAGTCCCTGGGCAACTACCCACCAGCATTCTTCTTCTTCTATTCCATCTATCATCGTCGTGAGCCCGCTTTCCCTGTCAATTGCTGCGGAAAATCAAAAAGAAATGAAAAGAAACGAACAGAAAGGAAAGAGAGAAAGAAAGAAAAATGGAGCGATTTTCTCCGTGTCACTATGGCCCTCCGCTAACCAGGCAATCCAATTCTTGAACCACAGGATCGGAGATGAGCCATATACCCTGGGACTCTTCGATACCGCAGGACAAGAGGATTATGACCGTCTACGACCACTATCATACCCTCAAACCGATGTGTTTCTCGTCTGTTTCTCCGTTACATCCCCAGCATCTTTCGAGAACGTCCGTGAGAAATGGTTTCCTGAGGTCCATCACCACTGCCCAGGCGTTCCCTGCCTGATTGTAGGCACCCAAACCGACTTGCGCGACGACCCCAGCGTACGAGAAAAGTTGGCCAAGCAGAAGATGCAGCCCGTGCGAAAAGAGGACGGTGACCGTATGGCAAAGGATCTGGGTGCTGTCAAATACGTCGAGTGCTCCGCGTTGACTCAATATAAACTTAAGGACGTGTTCGATGAGGTGAGCTAAAAGGATTTCTTCCCCCTATGCAACCATATATGAAGCAAGGAAATAAGAACTCTAAGCACATCTAACCTCCCTCTTCTCCTTCAATCCAATCCAGGCAATCGTCGCTGCGCTGGAACCAGCCCCAAGTAAGAAGCCTAAGTGTGTCATCTTTTAAGTCGTTTCCATATACTTCCCTTGATACAAAATACAATAGACCTATACGCAAAGCGTGGAATTCTAGCTTTGTCCGATTTTCGCTGTTTCGTTTGGTTGGGCGTGCGCACCCTAGATTCGGACTCAACGTACGTACAAACATGGGCTCTATTACGCAAAAGTTTTCCAGATATACACCAGACAACGAGGGAGAAAGTGTTTCAATGGTCTGATGGATGAATTTGACGCCGAAATTTGGATTGGGGAAAGGGAAAATGGGCCGACATGGATTATTATTTTATCTCTTAAATCTGAATTCTGATCCCACCAACCCTTCAAAAGAAGTATGCCGCAATTGAAAAATGCACAAAAGAGCCAAAACAGTTATTCCAAGCAAGGTTTCGCAAGTTCCGTCAATTGTTATTTCAGTTTCTGTTCCTTTTGTTCCATTTTCCATCATCACTCCTTTTCCACGTCAGCTTAAACCAACCTGTCCTGTCCTTTCTCCCCTTTTTTTACCTCCTCCGATTTAACGTTGAAGCTGATCGATCCTATCTGACTTGCTGCGCACGTCTTAACCCTTTCCCCACAACACGCCCCCTCTCTTTGCTTTTCATTTTATCCCACTCTGATATGCTGTGGTCCCAGTTTTTTTTTTTTTTTTTTTTTTTGTTTGTTTGTTTGGTTGTTTGGTTTTTTGGTTGCTCTTCCGCCGGTGCACATGGCTTTTCTTTGCGTTTTGTTGTCAATGTTTACTACCTCGATTTCATGCTGGAATTGTTCATTTTATTAGTTATCTGAATTGGTTCTGATCTGATTGGTTTTGCTCAGTTTTAACTGAACTGCGTCTTTGCATTTTTTCCCCTCTACCCCATAGCCCCCTTCAATCCAACATGCGCATTGTGTTATTATACTGTTTGCTCGCAGCAGATAAAGAGAAGAGTTCCTGCGACTTGTCTCGTTCCCCCCCCCCCCCCCCCCCCCCCCCCCCTCTTTCTGGTTTTTTATTGTTAGCCCGCAGGGGAAATAAGAGAAGGGACCAAAGATGTAAAATTTGGTTTTGGCCCCTTTTTCTTCCTTTCTCTTCTTTTTCTTCCCTGCCGACAACCCAGGACCGTGGCCCCCATGAAATTCCCAAACAAGGGGAGGCGCATGGGGCCCACCCAAGGGGGAGTCCGAGAGAATAAAATTTTTTTGTTTCTCCGTGAGGGCTGCGGGAAACGGAAAGGTAGGATTTTTAAAATATAAATGCGAGTGTGGGGGGCGGGGGTTTTGAATCATGAGGGGAACCCAGGGGGGATAACTTCCCCCAAGCCCAAGAGTGCTCTCTGGTGAGGATAATATTTAACTGAATTTGTCTACATACGCTCATCTGTAGAACTTTCTTAAAAGTATATGATAAAATCGATATATAACCCCCCCCCCCCCCCCCAACAAAGGTTGACAGACCTCTTCGAGCGACCAAACATGGGGGTGAAATTGGGATGTAAATTTCAAGATGGATAGGGGAGAAGGCAATAACATCTCATCGAAAGTTCATCGTGTCGTATCCTTTCTCATCCTTCTCGTCTTTGCCCTTCTTCCCATAGCCCCACCCCCCCACCCTCTCCCTCTACCCCACATCCTCCTTAGCCCCCAACTTAACCATTCTTGACATAATCTCAAACGCAACCTGCGTAACCGCAAGCGCAGTCCCCTCCGCAACATTATCATAGCTAAGCGAGACTCCCACAATATCAGCACCAACAAGATTCAACTTCTCAATCCCGCACAGAATCCTAATCAGCTCACGAGTAGTCCAACTCCAAACCCCATCTTCCTTCACCCGGCTCCGGCGTGACAGTTCCCAGGGTGATAGAAGGATCCAGCACGTCAATGTCCAGACTCCGAGTAGACAGGTTCGTCCGGAGAAAGTCCTATGCGCGATATGATCGTGTCGATTACGCCATGGGCGCCGCTATCATCGCTATCATCAGCATGGATGCGCAGGAATCCCTGCTCGGGTCCCGGATTTGAATAACCACCATCATCCAGACCGGTCAGGCGCGTGCGGAGACTAGCATGTGCAGCACTGGTGTTGGAAATCAACCCCTCGCGACTGGCGGTGTGGAAGAAGCTGCCGTGGTTGAACCGAGAATGGTCCGAGGTCCAGAACGCGGAGTTCCATATTGGGTTCCCGGTGTCGAGGTGTTGCATCGAAGTGAAGAACTGTGATGAGTTTTCCGTAGATTTTGGACGAGGCACGCAGCGCGCTGGGAGGGTGATGCTGCGGTCACCACCAAGCGTGATGAGGTCGTGTTTCCCTCGCGAAATACCACGGATGGGGTTTGGAACGTCACGCGTCGCGAGTTCCAGGAAGGCTTCGTGCATCTGCCGCTTTGCGAGGGCATTGTCAAAAGTGTTGGCGGGGATATTGCCACAGTTGAGGATGCGGGCCCAGTTTAGATATTGGTTTATGCCGGCACGGATGTTGTAGCTGTTTGCGGGGATCTGACGGGCACTTGCAGCCCTGATTGCGCGGGGCCCGAAACGGGCGGGCCCCCCCTGGGCGGTAGGAAACTGCGGTATCGAAGGGGGCGCCGAGGATGGCTATGTCGTATGGTTCATCAGGCTCAAGGAGATGGAGAGGGGCGAAGGTGGAAATACCGGCAAATCCCCACTGGCATGGAGAAATTAGTTACGTTACTAGTTTAAACCACTTCAAAAGCAAGGAAACAGCCAATATATATACTTGTGGGAATATCAACTTATTTAGCTCTTGATCCCACCTTTTCAGAAGCTCCTCCCTCTGCTCAATTGGAATCTGTTGTTTTTCATGGTCATGATCGTCTCCGCAGTGTGCACACGTTCGGGCGAAGACAAGAGGAACAACCTAGTTTGAATGCTATTGAAGAGTCATTTCTTTCCTTAAAGAAACGGGAACTCCCCCATATAAGCTGGAGGGAAATATCTTTAAGCTGGCAGCCATCCCCAGCAGTATTTAGTATTTCACTATTTTTATACCATCTCAGCGTTGGATGGGGCTTTTACGCAGATACGGTAACATCTTAAATTGAGGCTGCGGGGGTTTTTTGCAGCAAATGCTGAGTGATGAGTCAGCACGCCGAGACGTTCGAATTTCATCATAGAGAAAGTAAATAAATCACTGACAACTGACCAGAGAGAGGAGAGCAAAAGACTTGGGCATAGTTATGGGTGACGACTTATATATTACTAAGTTGTTTTCTTGTCCAGAGCTCTTGGTGAAATGAATAGCTAGCATCTCAACTTAAATTGTCCATACCGCTTTTTCCCAAGTCATTCTTCTGAACCGGCACCAACTCAACTCATGCTATCGGAGCAGTGGTGTGACTGGTGTCATGCGCAGGGTTGTGGTTACAGGATTAGGCGCAGTCACTCCTCTTGGGATAGGTGAGTTTGGGTCTTAGTCTTTGTGATCGGTTGGAGCCAGAAGCGGAATCATTGATGTCTGCCAATATGCTCTCAGTTGCCGTCTAAATGTCGGTTCTTCACTGGATATGTTATTGACTGCTTTAGGTATACGACGCACATGGAAACGACTTTTAGACGGCCACTGTGGCATTGTTTCGGTAAAAGATAGAGACCCCAGGTACAAAGATTTACCATGCCAAATCGCTGCTCTGGTCCCCGAAGGGCCCAAAAGTGAAGGTGGTTGGAATGCTTCAGATTGGTTGAGCCGTGATGTATGTACATTATATTCGGATCCTGTCAGCTCGACTTTACATTCGTGGAGACTTATGGCCGATCACAGGCGGAGAGAAAGACAGCAAAATTTACACAGTATGCCCTGGCAGCTGTTGAAGAGGCTTTGGAAAATGCAGGCTGGAAGCCTACCACTCGTGAAGAGAGGGAAATGACTGTGAGGACGCCCCCTTACACCTGCTCTTTTCCTTAGTGGAGTTGGATGGTTAATTTTCCGTAGGGTGTATGCTTGGGATCTGGTATTGGGAATTTTGACGAGATATACGATACCTCCCTAGCTTATGATAAAGGGGTATGTTAAGGACTTTTTTTTTTTATAATTACAGCCCCGCCCGGCCCTCGACGGATTTCCTTCAGTAGGATCTACTTATGTTAACCTTTGTAGTAGGGCTACAGAAAGATTTCGCCACTCTTTGTTCCCAAGCTCCTTATTAACTTAGGTGCTGGGCACATATCGATGAAATATGGATTTTCCGTACGTTTTTACTCTATTACTACTCCATAACGTGTGTGCTGATAATCCAGCCTAGGGGCCAAATCATGCAGCCACAACTGCATGCACAACTGGCGCCCATTCAATTGGTGATGCATCCCGCTTCATTGCTTGCGGAGATGCAAATGTAATGATAGCGGGGGGCGCCGAGTCATGCATACACCCGTTGGTCATCGGGGGGTTTTCCAGGTGCCGAAGCCTTGCTACATCATACAATGACTCACCGGAGAAAGCCTCAAGACCATTCGACAGAGACCGTGAGGGATTTGTTGTGGGAGAGGGTGCGGCAGTTATTGTCTTGGAGGTACGTGTACCCTGCCGTTCTTATGTGCTCCTATAAAGGTCCTCTAAAACCAGCCACTCTTGTAGGCACTTGAACATGCGAAATCCCGCGGTGCGAATATATATGCTGAACTCAGGGGCTACGGCTGCTCCGGAGATGCATACCACATGACGGCACCGAAGGATAGCGGCGAGGGCGCTTTATCCGCTATGAAACGGGCACTGAGGGACGCTCAAGCCCCTCCTGGCAAGGTTGATTACATCAATGCACATGGAACGTCGACGGTTATTGGAGACGCGGCGGAGAACTTTGCGATTAAATCTCTTCTGCTTGGCCAGTGGGGGAAGGAGAGGGCAGCTGACATCAACGTCAGCAGCACGAAGGGCGCTATAGGGCATTTGCTGGGGGGTGCTGGGGCGATTGAGGCGGTGTTTTCTGTTCTGGCCATTCATGAGGTATGTATATCATCATTTTTAGCGGGCGATCCGTCACTGCCTGAAGCGTTGTGACTTGTGAATCTAACCTTGTGCCAGAACATACTGCCTCCTACGATCAATCTGGATAATACGACGGATGAATTTGACTGCAACTACGTGCCCAATGCTGCTCAACAGAGGCGGGTTGATTTGGTCCTGACCAACAGCTTTGGCTTCGGGGGAACGAATAGCAGTATTTGCTTTGCTCGATATACCAATATTTAACTGCTGGATATACCCCAACGGTTTGTAACCGTTTTTTCATTTTTTTTTTTCCTTTTTTCTCTCTCCCATATTTTTATTTTATTTTAATTTTTGCGCGCGAATATGGATCTGCCTTCTCTTTTGATTTGATTGGGTTGATTTACCTATTCCGTCACATCGCGGGTGATATCTTGGATTAAATTTTTTGTCCTGACACAATCCGTGTTCTGCTGCCTAAAATCTGTATTATTATATTTCAAAATGCTGTCTACTACTCCTTCAAAGGGGTTTCCAGTAACGTGGCTTTCTCTTACCGGGGAATGCAGCTATATGCCTTAAATGTATAAATATCTTTTGCTCCTCTTCGTAAATATTCTGATGATCTTTTTTACACTTTCCGATGCCTTCAGTAATCTAGCGCACGTGACCAATCTGCCAAACTCTCCCCAAAAGCCAAGTTCAGCCGATCAGAAACAACTGCATAAAACCATCTGTATAAACTCCCGTCATATCCCCATAAGATCAACATCTTCTGAGCCCACAGGTAGCCCAGCCATTTTCTTCAAAATGGTGACAAACGGTGCTCAAGCCCGAGGTGAGATCCCCTTCTCCGACACTTCCGAATCCTTGAACCTTGTTCCCGTCTGCCACTACTGCATCTGTTGCTAAGGGAGTAAAATGGCAAGAATAAATTAACACCGTTGCTAATACATAAACTGCCATCTCTCTTTCTGGCTCCAATGGTGACAACAGCATCGTCCGTGGCTTCAAGTTCGGGACCTAGTTTTGTCGATGCTTCCGGATACAAGTTCAGTGATAAGGATAATCGGCTCGGAAAGCTCAAGGTTACGAAGAAGACTGCAGCGAAGAACGCGAAGACTGCTGCTGCTGCTGCTGGGAGAAAGGAGTCAGAGAAAATGGGTAAGAGAAATGTGTATTTGGAAACGTGTGGTTTTATGCGTTTTGTACGAGATCTATCGTCTTGTCGTGTGGACAGTGACAGCAGCTACTCTATGAGAAAACCGAGCTGACATTTCCTCCTCTTGCTTTCGCTTGCGGAATCCAAAGATGGAGATCCCGACTCCCGCGCTTCCACATCGCCCATTCTCCCTGAAATGGACGATAAAATTGTGGCTGTCTTCCCCAATGGCAAGCCGCGAGAGACTCAATTGGAAACGGTGATATGCAAACATTGTAAACGACCAGTTCTACGACAAACGGCAGCAGAACATATACGAGGCTGCCTGAAAGCAAAACAAGAGAAGGCACGGAAGAAGAAAGAAGCTCGGGATGCTGCCAACAGGGCGAAAGAGAAGGCATTGGGGAAAGATAAAGGGAAAGACGGGGATGAGAAAGGCGATGACAGATCTGGAATTGGTGGCATGGATGATGACGACGCGGTGAAGGGACAGAAGAGTGCGAAGAAAAGTGCCGGTGGGGACGATGGGACGAAGAAAGGGAAAAAACGCAAGGCTGATATCGATGATGATAAGGACAAGGAACCAAAGAAGAAGAAGAAGAAAGATGAACCGAAACCCAAGGCGGCCAAACCAAAGGGCCCTGTCGACGTGGAGAAACAATGCGGTGTCCCCTTGCCCAATGGCGGCCAGTGTGCGCGGTCTTTAACCTGCAAGAGCCATTCCATGGGTGCTAAAAGAGCTGTCCCTGGCCGCTCGTTGCCGTATGATATGTTGCTTCAGGCATATCAGAAGAAGAACCAGGCACGGCAGCAAAGTGAGTTCTTACTTCTAGTGTTTGCCGTTGCTCCCCCTTTCCCCCTCGCCCCATTTGATTTTATTTTAATTTTAGCTCGTTTTTTAATTCAGGTTGCTGACTTGTATGTCATAGAGGCCGCAATTGATGCGAACGCTCCGATCCATGACGATCTAGATGGCAACGGCCCAATCGACTCAGACGAGGAGAGAGATGCAGTGATGGCGGGCCTGGCTCGATCAAATCATCAACCGCTAGTAACCCACCCTCTCATCCCAACCAGACGCAAATACCACCTAGTGCGTATGAAGGAAATGCTTTCACAGGTCCTTGGTGGTGCAAGGGGGGGTATTTTTTCCCAACCACGCGATGTGACCAATCAGGGTCAGGGTGGAAGGGCTATGTTGACCTCAGACTCAACCAATATCGCAGCGTCCCCCACAAGTGCTGTCGACCCTTCTGCGCAATCTGCGGAAACTTCGAAGAAGCCTTCAATCTCTCAGCAGGCGGCGCAGAATCGAGTTTCCCAAGTCACAGCCGCAGCTGCGGCGAAAAAGCCCGCTACTATTACGACTACTACTGCTACTACTGCTACTGCAACAACAACAACAACAGCGGCAGCAGCAGCAGCAGCAACAGCAGCAACCAGTACTGCTACAGGCTCTGGAAGTGCAACCGCAACTGCAGCCTGATCATGCGGATTCATGTATATTTTGATGATGCTTTCGATGTCGCTTAATAGCTACGATGACGAGTTTCTCGATAATATTCAGGACATTATGGCGCATTAGGGTTATTCAAGGCGTTTCTGGAAATGGGATGGAAATTTTCCTGCGATATGAGAGATGATACCCCTTGTTTTGTGCATTATACAGTTTGATTTTTCTCACTTGGTTTCAGGTTTTTAATTCTATGTTTGTATATCTGGTTCAATTGTTGTTGCTGCATCTGTCCCGGACCTCTGTGTCTGTATATCCCTACTCTCCCAGGGGCCGATCAATTAAGTAGAACTGGAATGGAAGAATAAACATTTTAGCTTCGCTATCATTGTATTGTATTGCGAAAAGCATATATTGATTTATCTTCCTTACAAAGCATAGCGTAGATCGGTAAATGTGTCTTTTGCTGTACCGTCGCATACTTTGGTGCCTCAGGCCCCAACCCTCACCCCACCCACCCACGTCTTCTACTCCTTCGATGCTCCTCCAATTCGCAGAAAATGAAATAAGCATCCAGAGACTGCTACGTTTACGAGACATAAACGGCCACATTCCTTTACCTACCTCTTGCACCGTCACTCTTCCATCCTCAGCGAATTCTGATATTTTCTCCTGTCGCGACTCTCCCCCACCACCACATCGCATCGTTACGTTAAGAGCCCTCCCTCCACAGCCTATTGAAGTGCCCAAAACCCCCCCCCTTTCACCTCTCCGCCCTCCAGCCTGGAAACCGAGCGCCATGAGCCACTTGACTGTTCCCGACCTCGACAAAGTTGGCATAAAAGCCGAGCCGCAGCTGGCAGACCAATTCCGCAGAGAAGTCGCACATCTACTGGGTCGCTCCTCTCTCGGATTTCCAGGAGCGCAGCCCGTCAGTTTTGCTGCACGACATATCGCCGAACTACAGAAGAAAGATTACTATGTTTGCGAGAAGACAGATGGGATTCGCTGTCTTTTATACTTCGCCCGCGGTGACCCGGATTCCGATACGCCTGAAATCCACTATCTCATCGACCGCAAGAATGACTACAGATACGTCCCCGGCCTGCATTTCCCCCTCCCGGACGATGATACCTTCCAGAGTTTCCATGTCGATACGATTATTGACGGGGAACTGGTTAGTGATACATATGAAGACGGCTCGTCGCAACTGAAATTCTACGTCTTTGACTGCCTCGTCCTGGACGGGACGAGTCTTATGCACCGCACCCTCGATAAACGGCTGGCCTACTTCAAGGAGAAAGTCCTCAAACCATATAATGCCATGTACAAGAAATACCCGTCGGAAAAGCAACACCGCGCTTTTGCTGTGGAGGACAAGTCTACGCAGTTTAGCTATGGGCTTGAAATGATGTTCCGCGAGATAATACCTAAAGTGAAGAAAATCCACGGTAACGACGGTCTCATCTTCACCTGTCGCAGCACGCCGTACAGAATCGGCACAGACGAACATATCCTTAAATGGAAACCTCCGCAAGAGAACACAGTCGATTTCCGCATGCGCCTGCAATTCCCTCTTGTAAAGCCGGACGAATCTGACGACGGAAATCCGGGAGAACCGTACCCGGACTATGACGCGATTCCCACCTTCTACCTCTTCGTCGCCCTGAAGACAAACGAATACCTACCCTATGGCACCATGCACGTCACCGAGGAGGAATGGGAGGCGCTCAAGGCCATGCAGAAGCCGCTCGATGACAGTATCATTGAGTGCTACAAGGACGACGAACATCGTTGGCGCTTCATGCGGCTGCGCGAGGACAAAATGGATGCCAATCACATTTCGACTGTGGAGAGTGTCATTGAGAGTATTGAGGATCGTGTTGGTGAGGAGGATTTGATTCGTGCTGCGCCCGCTATCAAGGCTGCGTGGAAGCGAAGGCAGGCTGAGGCGGATATGGCGAGGCAAAAGGCTGTGGAGGAGGAGAGGAGGAGAGGAGGAAGAGGAGTATAGCGCCGGGTTGGGGGTTGGCAGGGCTGGGGATGAATGGAATGGGGGCAAAAGAGGAAAATTGAGGACGGAAAGAAGTGCCAAAAGAGGCTGGACACGGTCTGCTGGATACGGATGAGGAACATGAGGTGGGTACGAACTGGAATGACCTATATATGTAACCTTTTTTAAGTATTGCGTTTTACTATTCCTTGTGTTTTCTGGTATTGCGGGAGGCGTTTCTGTGCATGGTTTTCTTCAATGCGGATACTTCATATACCTCGTTCTTCATACTAGACTTCCTTATTTCTGGTTCCGTTGTTCCTTTCTTTAATTGGTGCTTCTAATTTTCGAGTGGAAGAATTATTTCTTAAAAAAAGTTAGATAGCACGATACAATTCTATCTTCTACCACAACGTGCCCGTGACGTATAGACGGAGGAAATGACAGCAGAACAAAATCAACAAAATATACAACGGAAACGTATGAGACGCCGCTAATGGTAACATGAAACTATACACATACCGCCGTCTTCGCCCTGCCTCAAGCCAACCAACTTGAACAAACTTCCAACACTCAATACTCAAAATCATCATCCACCCCCCCCTTCGCAGCCGCAACGTTCGCCACACTTTCTTGCTTCCTATACATATCCGCCA